CCACGGAGAAGACGGCCCAGGACCAGCCATGGGCTTGGGACTGGGAGTTGAGACGTTGTGGGTGTTCATCTTCTCCTTCCTTACACAGAATGAAGCCACGAAATGCCACCTGTGAGTCACACTGGAGGGTCACGTTCCCTCCTGAGGCCACCACAGGGCTGGGCAGGGCTGAGAGGGAGGGTTTGCTGTAGGCTCCTAGGAGAGAAGGAGGCACCGTGTTAAATGGGACTCACATCTCCCACATCATCCCCAGGGCTGGGCTGTGAGAGGGAGACGCCCCTGAGAGCCGACCCCCTTCCTGAGGGCAGAGCCTGGGGCTGGGACCCCTCAGTGTCCTCTCACCTGTCACCACCAGCTCCAGGGGGTCACTGGGCTCTGACCACCAACTGTGGCTGTAATACTGACAGCGATACTGCCCTGCGTGTTCCCAGGCGATGGATGCAATGGGGAAATAGCCCTTCTTGACAAGCTCTTGTCGTACCAATGTAATCCAGGATGCTGGTTTTTTTCCCTTATATAGACGATACTCCTGAACCTGAAGGCTCCCCTGACACCTGAGGGTCACGGGACTCCCCTCGCTGATCACAGACCCTGCCTCAACCCAGAGAGTGGGCTTGGGAAGGATCCCTGGAAGGAAATCAGAGATCGGATTCTAAGTCATTTCCCACCCAACAGATCTCAACTCTTGACGGCAGGACCCTCCAGACGCCCCCATCAGTCAGCCCAGATCTGCTATTCCCCGTCCCCAGCTACATGGAGGAGGCCCCTTGTCCCCAGTGAGGAGGAGGGACGTGGGACAGCTGGGGACAGACTCACCTGCCTGCACGCGGGTCCTGGGGCCCAGACTCAGCCCTGGAAGAGAGTTCCCTGTGAGAGATTTGCCCCTGAAGCCTGAGCAGGTCCTCCCGTCTCTGGGATCTTTGTGAGCCCCTGGGGTCTCCTTATGCACCAGCGTTTGGCTGTGGGGTGAGGCACCTCCTAGGTTAGAATCTCCCCTCCCTCTTCAAATCTCACCGAGGCAGATCAGGACCATGAGGATGGGGGTCATGGCGTCTCCTCCCCCTGCCCTGCTCTGCAGATGGATGAGCCCTCGGTGCTGGCAGGACAGAGACACACAGGGTGTGGACACCCAGAGGCTGGGCCTTCTTGTCAAGGGATTTTGTCATTTGCAGCCACACAGGAAGCGGAACTGCCCTCCCCAGGAACCTGGCTGTCATTCCTTTAGGTCTGAGGTTGGGGCAGGCACCAGACCCTCTGTAGACAGTTCAGACAGAAATGGGGTGTTTCCTG